AACTAAAAGGTCCAGAAGAGTTAGAAAGCCCGTATTTCAAAATTCAAAGCACCCTCGAACCACATAATCTCGTTGAGACGTCCAAAATAATTTTACAGGCAGTGAATTACCATATGTCTTAACCTGTTTTGAGGTTCGATGTGTACTTGAAAAAAAAAGATCTAGACTTTTCCGTCAAGGTTGCGAGAACATACGCTACCAATACCCGGTTAATCGTATCTCCTTTTGAACATAGATAATTCTTTAGAACTTGATCATTCAGACGTCATCTGTAAAGGCACTTCAAAAACTCGATATTAATTGCAACTTCTGCGCTCTTAACGATCTTGTGGTATGGGAACGAGAAAAATATTACATAATGTACCGACGTGAACCTATTCGTGGCTTACTATTTGTTCCACGACCTAGTAATGACGAGAAAAACAATTTCAACCACTTTGACAACACGTCATTAATCAAAAATCAATTATTCTGGCAGGATTTGATTTCCGTTCAATTATGGCAGCAAGCGAGATCAGATGATAAATATATGCAAAGCTGCCATGGTCATATTCATCTTAACTTTGATGATGTATGTTGAAAGAATTTTTAACGTCATTAGACGTTCGATGTATGAGATTAATATTAGACGCTCGAAATTTTCCCGAGCAAAACAATCTCTTAACAACTGTCTTGAACTAGAACGTTTTCGGTTGCAAATAGTTGAATCACAGAAAGTTCAACCAAACTTGCAGGAATGGTGGATGGCTCTTTCCGTAACCAATGCAAAACTATCTCATCTTGACGGGAACCAATGCAAACAATCTCAGCTTGTTGATTTGTTGACGCTAAAAGAACAACTTAGTAATGCAAAAAAAGACTAGTGTGATTGGTACTTTGAAGGTTACCATAAGTATATTCTATTTGAAGAATCTTCGAAAAAAATATCACATAATAATACGCAGCCAATATTAATTAAAGATTTCTCCGGATCGTTAGTGTATATCATTTTAGGTGAAATAACAGAGTGCATATAGTAGATTTGTACTATATTATACCACTAGTGACGTTATTACATAACTAATAAAAATCTTGTGCATAATAAGACCAAATATACAAGAAATTAATAACAGGAACTTGACTGCAGTAATTATTTGGTAATAGACGATGATAGCATTTTTCAAATCAAGATTTCTAAGGAAGAAACGAGTGACCTCGTTAAAGTATATGATTGAAAACGATTGATTATTAAATCTTTCTTTCAAAGAAAACGATTACCACTCCATCGCTTTGATTGACTTATTCGCATTACAATGTTTCTTCGATCACGAGATCGGTGAAGTGCTGTTTTGATATCGATATGCTAATACTTCACATAATGTGTAATTGAATCGTTCAACTAATCCATTTGTTTGTATGTTAAAGAGAAAATATTCAATTTTAATGAAATTTCTTTTCATGTTTTTCCAATCGACGCGTGTAGTTTTATACTATCGCGTTGCTACGATCGATATCAAAATTTGTATCATGATCGCCAAAACTTTATCGAGATCCATTTTTGGCTAGGTGCACAGAAACGCCAGGTTAAATAATAGCGGTAAAAATTGGTGCCGACTGTAAAGATTGTGCTGTGGTAAAGTTCTGTTTGTCAAACCTTTAACTTCTTAGAATGAGAACATATTGCGTATACACACCCTACCTGATATATCAAAATCAGGGATGCCATTTAAATGAAAATGACCCATTAGATTTGTCTCGAATGTACGAATCCTATAGTAATATCTTTATTTAAATGGCATCACTGGATTTGATATATTTGTTTCAAAGTGACAGATTCGTTTTTGGGATTTCCGGTAATATATTTATTGTAAGGGCATGTATATATCAAATCTCGTCAATTGTTATCCAGTCGGTTGGAATTGAATCTCCAAAATATCTACGCCATTTAAATTTTTAATTACTTTGCCTGCACATTGGCGGATCTTATGCTCAGGATAAACTTTAATAATGTTTCCCTATACTAAAAATTTATTATCTTTGAAGTAGAAGAACTTTGATATAATACAACCGAGGCTGGCTAGACGATTACACACTTTGATATTATAATAAAATAATAAAAGCTCACACGCAATTGAATCTTAATTCAAAGATTCCAAAGAAGCTTGAAAATACTAAATTGGGAATGAAAGGTAATCCAAATTATGAAAAAAAAAATTTATATGAATCAATGCTATAAAACTATCCCTATTTTTGAGTTCAACAATACTGCAAATATATGATTATGAAAATCGTTCTTTACGTCTATAATCTTAAAGAGAACAAAATGAACCATACAGACCATTTCATTGTATCAATGAAATTAGCTAGCGCCAAGCCAAAAATTCCTATTCATAATCCCAATAGCCTTTAAATCATCAAAGAGGAATAAAATATATCTTTCAAGAGCCACACCGGATCCCGCGTAAAAATTAATTGTCAGTTTATTTTTAGAAGTTTAGAATTATTCCTAGTATCAGAAAAATCTGTTTTAAATGAAATAACAAACAATACAAAAGTTTGTTTCACATGTGAATAAGACTCGTTGTATTGATTTTTCCTCATTATAAAAACGCGTTCTTTCGGCTCGACAAGCTTCATTTACACAAAGAAAAAAAAACGTATATTCTCATATTACATTGATTGATATTTTTTTCCGTAAATTTCAAAGCGAAAAATTCTTAAAAAAAATGAGAATAGGATTGAAATTCGTGTGCGGCTTGGTTACAATTTCCTTGGCAATTGCAACTGTTTCCTCATATCCGATCAGCAAACGAGTATGCGACGATGGCACAAATGGAAATGTTGGTTGTGGTAACACAGGAACCGGGAACGTTGGAAATAGTAATGGTGGTAATAGCAATGTAGGCGATAAAAACGGTTACAATTCTCCGGGAGGTAACAACGGTAACAACAACGTTGGAAACGGAAATGGTGCAAACGCTGGTGGGACTAACAACGGAAACAACAACGTCGGTAGCGATAATGGTGGATCAGTGGGTGGTAGTCATAATGGAAATCAAAATATTGGCAATACAAATGGATCCAATGATGGTTTAGGAAACAAAAATGATGGAACTTCGGGAAACAATAACGGAAATACAAATCTCGGTAGTGGGAATGGTTCAGATAATGGAAATAATAACGGTGGTAGTGACAATGGAAATAATAGTGGAAATAACAATTTAGCAAACGATAGTGGAAGCCAGAATGGAAATAATAATGGTCCTGATGGTTCTCATAACGGAAATAATAATGGAAATAATAATGGACCACAGAATATTTGAAAGTTGTTCCGATAAGCTTATTGTTACATTGTATTGTTACATTTTCTGTATATGATCAAATACTATGTATGAAAATGTATGAAAATGTATGTCTATGATATAGGCATTAATAACCAATAAAAATGAAAATTCGCCGATTTTTTACATGTTTGTTTATTTATCAAAAAGATTGGTGTCTCTTTGGAGTCTAAACTAAAGGAACAATTAAGAATTGTCAAAATTGGCTATTGAGAAATAAAGTTTAATTAATTCTTGACAACCGAACTGAGTGAGAGGTTCTAAAACTGTATGCGCTGTGTAAGAATAATTATATTAGTGATCTTATATTTAAAAATGATTTCAGAAAAGTTGTTAAATATCAAGAATGTCGCAAATCAAATTTCTTCCAGCTTATAATTTCGTTATATCGAGACACACTTGTAAATATATTTTTTTGATTTTTCATAAGATTAAATATTTAATTTAATATGATGTTAGAGCAGAGCAGAGCAGAGAGTTCATTTAAGTAAAATACATGTATGATAAAAATGAACTTTCATTTAAATACAGTTTAAATTCTAGATATACAATAAAAATATAATTCTAAATTAACAATGTCCCTAGATCCAGTTTACAATATTTTGAGGACCATTATCATTTCCATTATCATTGCCATTGTGTGATCCATAAGGTCCATTAAAGTTTCCATTACCGCTTCCATTCGCACTTGCCAAGTTATTATTTCCCGAATTATTTCCGTTATCGCTACCACCATTATAATTTCCATTGTATGCTCCGTTAAGACTTCCAAGGTTGTTGTTACCGTTATTATTTCCCGAAGTTCCGTCAGGAGCATTTCCTACACCATCATAGAATCCATTCCAACTGCCAATATTATTATTTCCATTATTGCTTCCACCGACAATAGCACCATTACTGCTACCGATGTTATTGTTGCCGTTGTTAACTCCACCAGCATACGCGCCATTATTGCTACCGACGTTATTGTTGCCGTTGGTACCCGCTGATGAACCGTATCCGTTTCCACTGCCGACATTTCCATTACCACCGTTGTTATTTCCAACATTCCCTTTGCCAGTATTACCACATCCAACGTTTCCCTTTAATCCAACATCACAGCCAGGTGGTAACCATGATTGAGGGGTTGGAAGTGAGCTTACAGTCGAAACAGTGACCAATAAAGCTACAAGTAAACCGGTGTATTTAACCATTTTTCTTCTGTTATGTTTTTATTATTAGAAAGAAAATTAGGTGTGTAAAAATTATATAGGTAAAGTGAGGTAGTGAGGTAGGTAGGTAGATAGGTGGGTAGGTAGGTATTATTTTTTCGTATTGAAGAAGAGAGGAGAGAGGAACTACGAAATACTACGATGAAATTCACGCACTATTTATCTACCAAAGTTTCAAATAAAACCATACTAGGATAAAAGAGGAAAAAGGCTATGTTTAATATAAAAATAGAAACAATATTCCTCTTTCAATGAATTAATTCGTCAAAAGATTCGCTGATTATTCATACCAAACACAAAACCAAATAATAATATTTATTACATATTACACCAAAAGTGATAGTGAGTAACATATGCAAGGAAAAAAATTTGTACAACATCAGCCTGATTGTATGATGAATGTATGTATGCTATTAATTAGTTTGCTGTCTTTTATGCACACTTTTGGTTTCGTGGTTTTTTTTCAAGTTTCTGTTAAAAGCTATCCTCCAGATGAATCTAACCTTTTGTAGTAATTAAAATTACAACGGAATGAAGCTAACCTTATCTGTTATAAACATTACACGTAATTTAATAAAATACCTTTAAATAGTGAAACGATAATTTCAATCCCCACTAACTAAAAAAATCACATGAATAAAATATTAATTACTGTAATTGTTAAAGGTCGATTTTAAGAAGGTTAGGTTAAGGGTAAAGGTTAGGGTTGAGATCAGGAGATACATATAAATTGCCTTCCGATATTTTTGATAGTATGCCAAGCTAGGTCTAAGCATCCATTTTCTTGTATTTTTCACTTTTTTCTCAAATTTTTGTGTCGGATTTGTTTTGCCGTATTGATCAAAAATTTGTTGGTTTCTCGAAAAATCCGCGTATTCTCATTGGCTGCTAAATGGCAATAGACAAAACCTGGCACAGATTGGATGTGCTAAACCAAGTACTATTCCTATTTTAGAACAATGAATGATGCTAATTTTACGCCTTCTTCGCTTTTTTGGCTAGCTCGCATTATGGCAAACCTTAGGGATGATGTTCCGGCGAAATTGTTTTCCAGCTCATCTCATCTCTTTACTATATGAACTTAAAAGAAACCTATCAACGTTCGCATAAAGCAAAAAGTTATTGATAACCGGAGATTCCGATGTAGCGCAATTTATTATATTTTGATTCATGAATAATTTTTTTGTTAATTCCCCCCAAGTTTTGATTGGATAATCGAAAATCTCATTGTTGAATTAACAAAATCAAATTGCGTAATGTTCCGGGAAATAACAATTAATATTTGATGGCGGATTTGTTTTGGTAGTTCAATATTGATTTTTCATTGTCCAATCAAAACTTAGGAGGGAAATTAGTAAATGCGCTCGTGACTTGGAGTACTAAGTTCTGCACGTGCAAGTGATTTCGATTTCTGGAATACTGTACCTTACATAAATGCACGCACGCGTCGAACACATAATTAGAGGTCACTCTTGAAACACCGAGTAAATTTGAATAAATAAAATTAAAAATTAATTTAAATGACTGTGACAATGTCTTCGAAAAAGTAAATTTTATTAATTATTTACTTTCGCATGGTTCGCCATTACTTTTCTTGGTAGAAGGTTACAGATTCCAAGGTAGAATCTTGAACGTTACCACAGATTCTGCAAATTTAAAACAGCGCGTATTGTCTTTAGGGAAGACCAGAAAAGACGTCATTTCATTGGGGAGGAGTTCAGACCAGAATGGTTATTTAGGATATCCCCTTAATATACGACTTAACGAATTTACCGTAAATCGCGGTCTATAGTAACCCCCTTTTGTAAAAAAACTTAAACCTCAATTTTAACCTCAAAGCCAGTAAATTAGTAACTAAAATTTTCAGAAATTACACTGTGAAATTAAATTTATTTATTTGTAAATCGCGATCTATAGTAGTAAAAATCTAAAAACTTTTAAACTTCAACTTTTTTTAATAGAAATATTTTGTTTCATAGTATTATATAATGGCTCAATCATTTTAAATAATGTGATATATATTTATCAATCCCGTGATTCTGTATTTTGTCATTTAACGATATGACGATTCGATTAAAAAATCTACAGTGCGCGACACTTAAAGATGGCAAAACTTTAAAGAATAATGGAAGATGATACATAGATGATACAAAAAAAAGCCGCTATTTTGAAGCTAAATCAATTAAATATAAACTGCCGGCCTTCTTTTTTAAAAATAACTACGCATTGCGTAGTTATATCAATTTAAAAATGTCTTGTTTTATATGTTCGAGTTTATTTTGTCGTTAAATGGGACACAAATCTTTACACGTGACTCGTAATCAATAAATTTTATTGGTTGATATCAGATCATGTGGTCAATTGAGTGTATTTCAATGAATTTCAATAATACTTCACTGAAAAAAATTACACATCCAGTTCCAGAAGTTTAATAAAAGAAGAAATTTGACCAAGAATAGCCAAAATAGAAGAAAATTATAAAGAAAGAAGTTTACAAATTAAGATTGATAAAAAAAATAGTAAAAAATAAGAAGATTAAAGAAAAGAAAAAAAATATAAATATGTCTACTCACTATTATTCTTGTATAGAAAAAAATGAAGAAAATAAAAGAGTATAGCCAAAATAACTTATTATTAAAAATTTAATATTTCAGATTCATTTTTCAAAATTATTAAGTGATCATATAAGATTACTAAATTTTTTCAAATTAGATCATTTATTAATGAATTAGCTGATAAATTTGTTAGAGAATTTACTGAATCTATTAGTAAGTTAATTATTAGATCTATCAGTGAATCTACTAGTAAGTCTGCTAATAAATTTACTAGAAAATTTATTATTAAGTCTATTAATAAATCTTTATTATTATTTAAATTATCAATAATAAATAAAAATATTATAAAAGTAATACTTATCAAAGTATTGCTTAACTTCAAGATAATCTTTTTAAAATAAAGATGAGATTATAATTAATTATAATTTGATTATAATTCTTTAATTAACTATTATAATTAAATTATAATTCTTTAATTAGATATTATAAGTTATAATTAATTAAAATATTATCTTTATTTCAAAAATAAATAGATTTTTATAGTTTTTAAATATAATATATAATATGTTATTTATGAGTATTTAATTTAATTAATAATAATTATAAGAAAATAAAAGCTAGTTAAAAAGATTATAAAGATAATTTATATTTTTTTAAAATTATATATATGATATTAAAACTCTATACTCAATAATCATGTAATTTTATTTTAATTTTCAAAAATTTTGATCTAAAATTTAGATTGAATAAAAAAGTTGATTTATAATACTTTACAGAAAAATTATATAACTTTATATTTAATTATTATTATACTAATCAATAAAATTTAAATATGTAATAATATAAAAAATAGATACATAATTCAATTTCTATCTTTTATTTTCATTTTCTTTCTCTATTCTCATTTTCTATTATTCTTTCAATTATTTTAAATAAGTAATAATATAATTTAAATTTATTAATAGTTTATTTAACAGTTCTATTCTCTAATTCTTTATTATATATATCTATATATTTCTTTAACTTATATGTAAATTTGTGAATAATTATTACTAAAACTATGGAGAGAACTTCTAAAACTATAAAGAGAGCTTCTAAAACTTATTTTAATAAGTCTGCATAATTATATTTATATAATCTTCTGATCTCTCACTTCATAAAACTCTAGTACTACTCTATAAAATTATATTTGTAATAAAACTTTAAATATCATTTAAAAATATATTCTGCTTTGATAATTATCTTCTCTAATATCAATTATTATCTATAAAAATCAGACTATTATAATATTATTTATTATATATAATAGTCTATTCTTTCAAAATCATTATTATATTTTTCAAAGTACTATTTACATATTAAAAAATTTCTTATTCTGATTAAAGATTATATTCTTTAAGTACTTATTTTATATCTTTTGATTGGTCTCTTAATTTTATTACTGAATAATCATTTGGAAATATTATTAATTATATGTAACTTTCTCTATATTTATTAATATACTAGCTATTATATATCTTAAACTATATACTATCAGAATTCAAGTTTATTTTTGTCATGATCAATACATTTTTACTTATAATATTATGATTTGTTAATTAATTAAAATAAAAAATACCAATACATTCAGAATGCAATATCTTAAATATTAGAATTATCTTATATATAAGCTGATTCAACATATACTCTGATTTCTAATATTTATCTATTTATACAGACTGAAGAATAAAGATTTTCTTATTCTCAATATGTAAGTTTATCTATATTTATTCATCAAATAATTATAATAGTTCATGATATATATAAAGAAAAACTGATATTATAATAGAATATCTCAAATATTTAGAATATAGAATATCATCTTTCTCTCAGATCCGGATTCTTTATTACCTATCATTTACTTGTTATCAAATAACATTATTATTTAACTCAAATTGCAATTAGTTCAGTAACTCAAACTGAAATAAAAGTGCATATTAATAAGTACTATTATCTAGCATTAGTTAAGTTAATAAAAACTTTTATAGAAAACTTTTTAAATGATTTAATTATTATTTCTCAAGACAACAAAGCAAAAATTAATTTAGGAATATCTGCTATAGAAAGAATATTTAAAATAATATAATCAGTTAATGAACTAGTAATAATAATTAATTATAATTTTGTTATAAATATAAAATAAAAGCTTATTTCATCAATATATTTACTTATAAATTTATTAGATAGTAATAAAATACTTCATATTAGTTATATAAGTATTACTATATATCTAGAATACTTTGTAGAAATTTTATCAAGAATTCATATAATAGATTTTATAAAAATTATACATAGTAAACAATTTAAGAAAATAACAAAATATGAAGAAAAAATAAAATTAATCTGAATCTTAATAGTAAATAAAGATCAGATGAAAATCTAAAATAT